GCCACAGAGCTAAAACCCTAGCATACTTTTTTCCTTCTTAACAACAGGTTATATGATATTGTATAGTCTTATTTCTTGAATTTTTTCAGTTAACATACTATTTTGAGTAGACACTGTGGATGGAATCATTACAGAGCTAATAGATCATGCAGAAGAGGAACAGGAACTGGGGAAGAGTATGGGTCATGGTGAACTGAGAGCTTGTACCCCTTTACAAAGAGCTCAGCCATACTGGCAGTCACCTCATGAGGATTTGTGCCCAAGATTATCATATTTTTAAATTTTCCCAGAGATTTTTAAAGTCTAGATTTTTATGTTCAATCTGAGTTTTAAATGTGGACAATGAGTTCTTCATGATTGTTGGTTATGTGGGTCAAACAAAATATAACTGCATTAGCTCACTTTGTTGGCCTCCTTTGGTTTCTTAGAGATATGCTAAGAGACATACTATACAAGATATGCAACAGAATTTCCACTTTAAGTGCTCCCTGTACCAAGAGAAAATCCATTAAATCAGGTATCACGGAGCTACCTAGCAGTCTGTGTTGCAGTAGGGAATTTTCATAGAATCTTAAGTTCAAGAACCAAGGAAGCACACTTTTTTTTTGGAGGGGGGGGTACCAGGGATCGAACTCATGACCACCTGCTTGCAAGGCAGGTGCTTATGCCACTGAGCTAAATCCCCAGCCCCAGAAGCACCCTTTTTAACAGTGTAGAATCATACATAAGCATAACAGTTCCTAATCATAACTGAATTCAAATTATCACAGTAGCATGCTTTGTTACACTGTTTGTTTACTGGCAGATGGAGTTCCTTCCAGATTTTTACCTTTATAAATATTTCAATATAAGCTACTGCTTTGGTGTTTTGGGGGTTCATTTTTCAAATCAGGATCATTTGGTCTAATTGGGGGGTGCAATAGATACTGCAGTTTTTAGGTTTATAGTAGATACTGAAATTTACTTTAAAAAGTTACAAAAGGTCACATTTCAGTCAACACTATGTGCAAGTACCCTTATCCCCAAGGTCTACATTTTTGGGCATTACAAGAGATTGAACTCCTGACTTCACACTTGCCAGACGGGTGCTTATGCCACTGAACTAAATCCCTGGCTTCATAAATCTGGATATTATATCTTTCTAAATTCACAAGTTTAATGCATTATTTTAAAAGTGTTTGATGTCTTAACTTCTAGTCTAATAAAGAAATTTTTATCACATGTTCTTAAATTGGTTTAGGTTTCCTCTACATGGGATGTGATAGGTTGGCATCAGTTGACAATGGCAGGGTTGAGATCAAGGGAGGGAGTGTCCTCTACAATATCTTTATTTGCACTCACATTCTTCCCAGGCTCTAATTCCTTCCCCAATCCTTGCTTTCTTTCCACAGAGAGCACACTACAGCTGTTAATTATCTTTCAGCATGATATTAGGACCCTGTTTTCCTTTGGAACAATAACAACAACAATAATAATAATTATTATTATTATTTGTCTTTTTTTGGTACCAGGGAGCGAACTCACGACTGCCTGCTTGCAAGGCAGGCGCTTATGCAGCTGAGCTAAATCCCCAGCCCCCAATAATAATTATTAATACAAGGGATCAAACCCAGAACTTGACACTGGTTGGGCAAGCAGCCTACCACTAAGCTACAGCATTAGTCCTTTATTGATTTATTTATTTTCTGACAAGGTCTCTCTATATTAACCAAACTGCTTTTAAATCTGCCATCCTCCTGCCTCAGCCTCCACAGTAATTGGTATTGCAGGTGGGCATCACCAAACCTGGCTGGAATTATTTTCATTTGTTTATTTCCTTTGCCAACTTTGCTATTTAATAATCTATTTTTTTCTCGTCTACTCGATGTAGTCCAGTGTGAACTAGGCCATCAACAATTTGCCTTAAATAGTATTGAAATAAAATCAATTATAAAAATTATTAGATTACTTAATCTGATTTTCAAAAATTTCATTTGATTCCAATCTTATTTAACCATTTGACAGAAGCAGCACCATTTTAAGTTTCTTCCCAAACTACTTTTAGAAATTCACTTTAACATGCATTTTGCAATTCCCTACTATAAGGGAAACCACTAATGAGTATTATTTTACTTTGTAAAATAACAGCAAAAGAACTATAAAGATATAAATAGTTTTATATGCACATTAAAAACTTTCCAAACCAAAATGTAGACTTTTACGGGGTGAGGTGGGGCCTCTGAAGAGTTCGATTTTTAAAACCCAAATGGGATTTCAAAATACAAATAAATAAATGTCAAAGCTTCTTGGCCCCTGCTTTGCCATTCTATGCCTGAAATTCTGCCAAAATGAAATTTTCCATTCAAGAAGGGATGGCATTTACTACGCAGATTTAAAAGATATCCCAGAGTAGTGGAAACTTGGTACAACTTCTGACATTGCTCTCTGGTGGACAGAACAGCGCCGCTGCCTACATTTCCCATCCCTGTAACATTTTCTGCCAAATAAATGCTCAGTCTCTCCAAGGTCTTCAGCTACTGTGTCTATTGACTTTTCCCAGTGCCCAGCACAGAAGATTAACAGCCGCCAGGCTAGAAGATAGTGTTTCACTGAGTAGCAAGGGACAGAAATGACAAGAGAGAAAATGTTTCACCGAGGGTCCGGGCAAAGAGCAGAGAAAGTGGGAAGACAAGAGCGGGTCAAGGGATCACTCGCAGGAGGTGCACATCTATTTCAGGCGTCTGTTTCAGGCGATTGGAGACAAAGCTGTAGTGGGAACGGCTGCTTAAGCACATGAGGACGTTGCTTGCAATGACTGAAGGTCAAACAGCTAACAGAAGAGTCTGGACAGAGAGCTCAAAAGGGAGACTGCGGAGCTGCTGCCTGGCTGGTGCCAGCGGGAGCCGAGCGTGGTGCCCGGGGAGCGAGGGGTGGGCTCTGGAAGAAGAACTCTCCACACAAGAGTCCTTTCTCCCAGACACGTTAGAAATGGACACTGTGGCGTAGACCAGATGCACAGATGACAGCTACAAAACGCTAAGCGAGAAAACGAATCTTTCTGCCATCCAACAGTTTGTATTTTTAAAACCACTGCCTGGGTGAAGCAGCAAGCAGAAGATCCTAAAACTTTCCTCCCCACGTTCAGTTCTCTTCCTTTTGCGTACCCCTTTTTTCCCCCTTAGGCTGTGCACCCTGAAATTATCTCTGACTCTTGATTTCGGGTTTATTATTTTTTTCTGGCATGGTATTGCTCCCAGACCCAAACAAAGCTCTTTTTTCTTGTGTAGTGTTTGTTTCACAGAAGGGACAAAGAAGAGGTAGCCAGGCATTAAAAAAAGTTCTGTGGTTTGGGGAACTTGGGCCTTTGTTGTGTCATTTCCCCTTGCCCCTCCACGCCCCCAAGCACGTGACCCAGAATGGCCGGAATTTTTGTGAATGGAGCCGAAAGGTGGTAGAGGGGGCGGGCGGGACTCCGCCCCCTTCCCCAAAGTGTCCAATCGTCTAGCCGAGCGCTGCGGGGTCAGCAATAAACAACAATGGTCAGGGAAATTACGGTTCCTCATTGGCTGCAGCAAGAACCTCGCGGGGGCCTAACCTGAAGCTCCGCCCCCTCCCGGTTGTCCTGGATACCCGTAGGGCTCAGGCCACTGAAAAAGTCTTTGGAAACTGTTGCTTGGATTACAGGGGCTATGTTACCCCAGCAGCGCGTAGTGGCGGCGCCGTTGGGGTTGTCCCTCTCTGGTCGCGCCTTTCTGAAGTACCGGAGAACCTCAGTATTCCAGCCGCAGGGTCCAGGCTACTCCTAGACCCCCTCCCAATTTGTCGGGGTTCAAGGCACTTCCCGCCCAAAATGCTGGCAAAGACGCTCGGGCTGAACTCCGATTTACTGTTGCAGGGAATGCTCGGGTACGCACTTGCTCTGCACTGTCCCTGCTAACTTCCTTAGTAATCGGTGCTGACTTTCTGTTTTTGACACAGGTCTTGCCCATCTTGCAGGGGTCTAGAGCGAGTCTGGGCGCTTACACTCCATTTTAATGCGTCTTCTTCAGGTTTCGCAGAGGGAAAGGAAACTTTGAGATAAACCCTGAGAAGGTCAACATCCATGCCAGACCAGCTGCAGGGAATGTTCTTTGGTCACTAGCCCTGCTGGCTATCAGGGTCACAAGTGAATTTCAACACGGCTGGGTCTCCGGCCCCTTCCCCGGGGCCTCCATTCCCTATGGGGCCGTGGCTTCTGAAGTGACGCCTCGGAGCTTCACGCCCCAAGCAGGGCGAGTGACTCGAGACGCGGCCCAGACCTGCCGACGTCCTGGTGGGAAGGTCCTTGTAACTCGAGCCGGGTCCCCGCTCGCTCCCAGCCCCGGGCCATGATTGTTTGCAAGCTCCGGAGGAAGTGAAAGCGTCAAGTACAGTAAGCGACACCCTCCGCCTCCGCGTGTACACAACAAAAGCCCTGGAAACCACTGCTGCCCGGGACGCCCGAGCCCCCGGCCCTGGGCTCGTCCTGTCCACCTCCACGGTGCACCGCGAGCGCCTTTCCTTCCTCGGTGCCCGCGTGGGGACCAGTCCGGTTTTTACACTTTCCCCAGTTCTCCCTCCCAACGCAACCACCCCTAATAAGCAATTCCTCTCGTGGCTCCTCTCGTGGCTTTCCCTTATGACCCCGTCCCATAAAAGGTGGTTGCTCATTTTAGGTGAAGATGGGTGCAGAATCCTGTCGACCAGTGATATTGGTGGTCAGTGTTGAGCAATTAGAGAACTTGGGCCGACAGCGGAGAGGAAAGGAGGCTGGGGAGCGCGGTGAGCTCCAGGTCCAGTCGCCTAGAGGGGTCGGCGGTTTGGAGGGCTGGGGGCTGGGGTGCGAGCTCGGGCGTTGTGGATTGCACTTGAATGCTGTATATATCTGAACCGCACAACAGTGCTCTAAGCAACTCAGCCTAATAGTGAACCAAACACACCCGAGAGGAGGACTGGCGACTCGAATCGAATGGTTTCAGTATCCCCAGGCGGGCGCCTTAACAGTAAGCAGCGAGTTTGAGAGGAAGTCGATTTCCTCTGTGGCTTTTGCCAGCTGCGGACCCCGCGCTAGCCCGGGCTGCGCTGGCTGGGTAAAGGGGTGCAGAGGACCCGCGGGAAGGGGCCGCGAGCCTCGTGATTGACAGCCCGAAATCTGATCTTGTGAAAGAGACGTGGAGCCAATAGGAGGCAGCGATCCATCAGTTTGGATTGGAGGCCCCTGGAGGAGAAGTAGAGGAAAAACCACCGAATTGAGCTCTGTCAGAGGCGCTTTCGGCTTCCAAGGGGAAGTGCTGGGCGATAATTAATGTTTTTATTAAATTTGGAGGGAATTTTTTGCAGCCGTTCGCCTAGCGTGGCCTTCAGGTGGGTCTTTCCAACAACTTTTTATGTCTCTCCAGATAATTGCATGGTTGTGGGTTGCAAAAACTATCCTTATGAAAGAGGTGTCTCCGTCTCTTTAGTCCCGTTAGGTGCAAAGCAAGTCTCGTTGATCGCCATTGCTAGTTTTGCACACGTTTGCGAATCAGAGCTGCCCGGGGTACACCAATGTGCAGGGAGACAGCGAGAGTGTAAATAAATACATTGCCTCGGGTTCGGATTTTTGCTCCTACCGAAAATATGTAAATTGTGAACTCTCTTGGCTCTCTCTGGATTCAGGTGAAGGAGGCGTTGTAGGGAGGGTTATTTTTGTGAATGGGACTGTCGGAGGGTAATTAGCTATGCAAATTCAAGAGCTTCATTCATGATTTTTTTAAAGCCTAAAGCCATCTTGTTCCCCTCTAGGTTGATAGAAGTCCAGATCCTGAGGAAATCTCCAGATAAATGCTCAAAATATAAAATACTGAGCTAATATTTGCGAAGAGCAGCAGAATGGATGGATTTTATGACCAGCAAGTGCCTTACATGGTCACCAATGTGAGTGATCAGTTCGAAAGTTGCTGTTTATAAACTTGACTCCGACGAGGGGTGGGGAGAGGGAGAGAAGGAGAAGGGAGGGGGCAGGGGGGTTGGGATTACAGATACTTTATCTGCTTTGTTGCCACTGTAGGGCGACTCTGCTTCTATAAACCCAATCTTCAAAATGAGTTTACCTTTCAGTGATTTGGATAAGGCACAGTTTTGCTTTTAAGATTTTTTTTTTTCTTTCTGATCAAAGTGTCCAAAATGAGTGGAAGAGGAGATGCAGGGCAGCAGCCGCTGCTGAACTCAAAGTTTGTGGCTGGGTTTGTCTGCCACATTGAAAAGAAAGAAGTTGAGACAAACGCAGACACTTTTTGTTTACATGGGGTGTTTTGATTTTTGCTATTTTTTCTCTCATTTTTCTCTCTCTCCTGTTTTCATTTCCCCACTGCTTTTGCCTTTATTTTTTGAGGGTGGCTTTCTGAGAGAGAACACAATTCATAGTAGTTTAGTTCTCATCCAGCTTAAAAACGACTTTAAGTGTTATAGCTTAAATGTTGTTTTGTTGCTGAAATACCATGAATGTATATGACTGATAAACAGGAGTGTTAGGATTGGCACAGGGAAGCAATTCTCCCTGCCTGCTGAAATCTCAGCCTAAGCTTTCACTGTCAAATAAAGACAGAAAATTAGTATTAGAATTCATCCTAGAAACTTTTATTTTTCTATCCAGAGACAATCCAGTAGCATTATGTTATGTATGCATGTGTACTTTTGTATGTGACATCTGAGCTTTACATTTTTAAAAAAGGATTTTTATCTTTCCCTTTGTAGACTCAGCGTGGGAGAAATTGTAACGAGAAACCAACAAATGTCAGGAAAAGAAAATTCATTAACAGAGATCTGGCTCATGATTCAGAAGGTGAGGTTTAATTTTGAGCTGAATCCCCCTTTTGACTTACATTCTCTACCTCACTAGAAAGGGAAGAATTCAGTCTTATCTAAAAAATAACAAACTTTGAAGAAACTGAATTTAACCAAGACTTTTACTTGGAGTAGTTTACATAATGTGACAGTTTGCACTGGAGAATATTTTCTGGTCCTGTCGCAAACTACTGAAAGGAGAAAATAAAAACACTGACCTTCTTTTAAACATCATTTTGTATTAATGCTTGCCCATATGGCATGTAACTAATCCCACACACCAAGATAACAATTTTAAAGTGTCCAACACAATAGGACACAGTGAGTAGCTATGTACACTACTTATATTTTTCTTTACACTGTATTATAAATTGATTGATACAAACTTGTTTTCTCATCATCTTTATACTAAAATCAAATACTATCATCAAAAGTTTCATGGGCAAGTTTGATGACCACATCGTGCTGTCAGAACATCTTGTTAATAGGCCTTAAAGTGTTCACTGAATCATACTTAAGGCCTAATTAATACTTATGATACTATTTGGGAAATTAGGCTGTAAAGTCTTTTTATGAACTGTTGATTGGAGGTCAATGTATTATACATTATTTCAGCCATAGGAGGGCATTCATAATAAATTGAAGATACTTTTAATTATCAAAGTTCAGTTCACAGTTTAAGTTAGATGTACTGAGTAATACTGAAACTTGCTTAAATCTCATACCTATCTGTCATCTCTCTCCGGTGTAACAATATACAGTTTTGTACCAGTTAATAAATCAGTACCAGGGGATTATCTGTCTTTGGCTTTTATAAATTTATCAACATACAAATTTTAATTTGTATTTAAAGTTATTCTTTTTGGTTTTGAGACATTAAACCGGAAAACAGTCCTTTGAGACTTAACCTCTTATATCATGTGTATAAGATTCAGGTGATGTCAATAAAATGCATTCCACTCTTTCCAAAATTTCCTCTACTATGTTTTAGCAAGAGTTGAGTAATTTAAGAAAGGCTGCTGTGAATAGACTATCTTCGGATCAGCATGTTTTGCAAATTCAGGATTGTATGGTTTCTTTATTTTTGTACCCTGAGTTTACTTATTAAGCTGTTTGTTAAAAAGGAGGAATAAAAAGACGATTGACTTTATTATTTGGCTAAGTGAAGAATTTCTTAGTGTTGCTTAACAGGCATCACAAGTAGGATTACGGTGATATTTGTTATGAATACTATTTTTTCTATCAACTGCTTTTCCCCAAATTAAATTCATATTTAATGCCAGTTTCGCAGCAAACATTTTCATTTAGTGAGGCCTAAGGATTTTCAAATTTTACTTTTATGTCTTTAAATTATTTTTCAGAACTCTTTCAAGATCTAAGTCAACTGCAGGAAACATGGCTTGCAGAAGGTGAGGCAAAAAAAAAATTGCTTAAAAGGGGGGAACAGCAACTCTAGAAGGGGAAAAAAAAGTCTTGAACTTGCTGTCTTAATGTTCAGCCCAATTAATTGAGCTCTAAAAGAGCCACCTCATGTGTCTTGCATACATTAGAGCCTCTGATGAGTTTGTCTTTGGGGACTCCGGGACTGCACTACCCCGTGTCATCACAAATTACCAGGAGAAATTGCTTCCAGCTCACAATCACATCTGCTTTTGGCAAGAACTAATGCACCAAGACTTCAAGTTCTAAGCCTCTGTTCAGATTTTAATTGCAATTGATCAGGTTTATATTATTGTACCTCGAGAGACCTCCTAGAGCCAGCACCCGGCTGGCTTGCTGTTTCCTTTAGAGCAGCGCATATCATTATTTGGTGTTCTGGTGGAGGACTTTTCTGATGGCAGAAATTAGTTTCTCTGGGTTCATCAGGACGGGATGCTTCAAGATTTAAGTGCAAGTGTCTTCTTTCCACCTTGCTCACAACACAGAACCTTAGGTGTGTATCCTATACTTAGGAAATCTATGGTTTTAAAATGAATCTTTGGGGGATATAAAGATGTTAAAAATGTTTTCTGTATTTTACTATGCATGGGGTGTTTGTTGAAACTGACCTTTGATGTTTTGTCACTTTTATTAAAGCTTATTTAATATAACAAGGAGGCATTTAAAAGCATTTTAGAATATTTTTGATAAAATTTCATATTGCAGCCTATTATATGTTCTATTGTGTGTAACTTTATTTATAGAAACAATGAGATAGTGCTTCAGTGAGGCTTTTTACATCTTCAGATATGTCTAATGTTGGGAGATTTTCTTTGACATCTATAATTTAAAGTTTTCCTCTCGGATTCGGCATACTAAATATGAAATATTAGTTTTATGAATTATTTTATAGGAAATGAAAGAGCAAATTATATTGAAGCACTGAGTATAATTCTGTTACTTGTGTGTTCACCTAGTGTGAGAAATCTGTTATTTTTGGAACAAATTTTTAAGGTGGCTGAAAGGAGAGAGAGGGTCTCTGAATGGAGCCCAAGCGTTGCTGTGGCTACTTTTAGGCAGACTGGTGTTTTATTGGGTGGTCTTGTATGCAATGGAGGAAGTTACTGTTAGCATATAAAATAAGTTTCTTTGTTTTGTTGGTATTCTCTTTCTCCAAAGAGCTTTTGCAATCTTTATGAATCTTTTAAGTTACATAGCTTTCCTGACAGTCCTTGGAAAGGGTGATTGTACTTGTATGTTAATGAAAGGTGAGTATTAGTGAAAGTTTTGATTATAATTAAAGGTCATTTTGCTTGTCTTTCTAAATGAAACTTATTGCAATAGAGTACTTATTTTTGTAACAGAAGTCATGCATTCAAACATGATTTTTTCATGAAAAAAAAAACTGCAGGAAGGTTCTTGTGTTAACTTTCGTCTATTAGTTTTGCTAAGTTGAAGGTTGTGAGACTATTACATTTATTAGAGAATTTATTTGGTTATCCAAAATAACTTAAATATCTATTTTGATTGTTGTAGAAGGTTTGTTGAGTCTTGATGTTTAAATGTAATTGATTCCAAATCAGGGCGCTTGCTGGCAGATTTTGAATGTGCATAGCAACTCTGTTCCTGGAATTTTAAAATGTGAATCTGTGACAGACTCCTACCATTCTATAATCATACATATATATTATGTATGTATATATATATATATGTATGTATATATGTATGTGTATATATGTATATATTTTACATTTGACTTGTTTTGTGAATAACTTGGAAAAGTGATTTGAATAATTTATCTGAGTTTATCTTTCAAACTCTGTGTGGAATCTCCTTACCTATGATTAGCAATATACCCATAAACCAAATTTGCAGTTTTAGCCTTATATAAAATCTGGAAAATGCCTGATGTATTTGGAGAAGCACAGACTTTTACTTAGGAAGGAATTAATAAGCTTAATTAAATTCAAGAATTAATCTTGAGTGTTTTATTAATACCCAGGTGTGCTACTATTTACAAACTATGGATAAGCTTACAGTTTAGAATAATTTAAGCATTTTCAAAATAGTTTACATTAGTTTACCCAGTCACAAGTAAGCAAAAGGTTGTTAATGTAATTTTAAAAAATTAGATAATGAGGAAAATCTCCCCCCCCCGTTAATAAAATCCACATTGATTTTTAGTCCTAGAAGTCAAATATATTATTTTACATTAATACTGTGGATAACTTATCCCATCTCAAGAACAATATTAGCTAGGAACAAATTCTGAGACTACTTTAGTTTTATTTGAAGTTACATTTGTCCACTTTTTTCCCTTCTGGTTATCCAATAATTAAAACATTGCTAAATTAGCAGACTATGAACCATTTACATATTTCTTTTTATAATGATCCACAGCAAAGACAGTGACCACGGAATTTTAAGACATCTTGACCCTTTTAAAAAAATCACTAGCAATTAAGCAAGTTTCTCCCATGAGTTAGAATCCCACTGGGAAGTTAAACAGATCTAAAAATCTTAATAGACATGAGAATCAAGCTAGTTACAATGTGTCATGTAACAGTTGTGTTAATAAAAATTATTCAAGCCCCTAAATATTTCTGAAGTGATATACATTAGAATATTTCAATTATTTTCTTGTGAAATTATTTATAAATTTGAACAAGTGCAATATATGAATGAATCAGGAGTAAATTACTATGGATTATCTAGTTTTTCTTAAGGTAAAGTTGGGATAGATAAAGACAGGACTATCTGAAAGGAGAGACAGAACAAGTATTTTCAATTCACTAAAATTCTTTTTGAAACTCACTTATACCTTCCAACACCTAAAAAGAAAACTTAAATCCATAGTGATCTAAAATATGTTTGTGACTTTAGTATTATTTTCAGAGTACAATCTAAAGATTTAACATAAACACTGCAAGTTAAAATAAACATTGCTTTCTGAAAAATATTTAAAAGCTAATATTTTCAATGATCTCAGTAGAAAAAATAGAATGTATGTATATTTTAAATTTTGGCATGGTTACTTCACATTGTAATTTTACTATTTACAATACTTTATTGATTGTCTTTTGAGCCAGATTGCTACTGACAGAAAGGCAATCGCAATTATTTGACTCCATAAGTAGTGAATTCAAGTGTCAATCCTACCAGCACCATGATAACTTCTTGACTTTAACCTGTCTTTCAATGCTTTAGTAACTGGTGCCCTAAAATATTATACTTAAAAATAGATCCTCTTATAGGAGGAGTACAGAATTTGAAGGATATAAAACATTGAGTTAAGAAGGGATTACATTCTAGTGAACTGGTTTATTACAGCTTACCAACACAATTTAAAGAGAAATAGTTAAGTTCACTATATAACTAATGCACATATATAGCTTCTTTTAACTGTTATTTTGTTGTAGGTCTAAATGTGTTGAGGTTCCCCTTCATCGATAACCTTAAGTAAAAACTCAACAGTAATTGGCTTTCATCAGGGTTTACATGTTTTTCAGCGGTGTAGTAGGTCAGGTTTCACATTTTCAGTCAAAGTTTTATCTCCAAGAACAACCTTTCTACACAGAAGTTTATAATTCTCTCACCCAGATAAAGTTGATTGCCTTTTGATTTTATGAAACCTTCCAATATTGGTCAAATTAACTCAAAACTAGAAATGTCACTACTTTTCCTCAATTCCACTTCAAAAACCAATGCTAAATTTACAATCAAAGTAATTTTAATGTCTCTCAAGTAAATGTACTGTCGTCACTAGCTATGTGTATCATGCACAACACACAGTGATCATAAGGCACTCATTTGATTATCCAAAAGTTCTAGTTTATTTTTTAAAAGGGATGTAACACTGGATATGTGCAAATGAATTTTTTTTTTGTTTGTATGACATAGTAAGGAAAAAAAGCATTAAATGCTACATTACTTCATGTAGTTTACACAAAAGGAGTCAAGAGTTAAACTGAAGTCCATACAATTTCTTAGAATTAAGAAATTCATGTATGTGTGCATAGGGAGGTTACCACCTTTTCCTTTTGTTAAATGAGGATAAACTACAAAATATGAAACAGTTCTTTTGGGTCTGATTTAAAGATAGCAGGTAGTGTAAATACATTGTACTTCTGAATACTCATTGGAAATATGTAAATGCTTTTTTCTTTTTAGTCCACTTATAAACTAGAGCGAAATGTAAAGCGTTGGACTTGGTGTAGCATAATGTAGTGTTTCTAGAGAGTCCTAGTAAATGTTAATGAAATATTGCTGAGCTTTTCTAGTACAGTTACAGGAAATGTTTACTGTCTTGCATTTCATAATACAACTTTATTTCCTTTGATTCATATGTATAATCCTGTAATTAAGGATAATAATAATATAGTCAGACATCTAATATTAGAGACAATATTTGGCTACAGACAATGGCTTGTTGGCCCCTATCTTCTTATTTCAAGTCAGTGCAGGTCAATTTATTTAGGAATTGATACTGTGTGAGATTCTAAAGAACTAAAATTTGTATTTCCTTCCTTTTAGAGCATTAGTATATCAAACCTTGAACGTGTTTCTGTCATGGGAAAATGGCCCTCATTTTTGCCCAAATAAGTTTGTTTGTCGCTCTGCAGTAATTAATCCTTTTACTCCCTTACATTTTAATCTTAAAACTGAACGTGATATAAAGCTAGGCTCAGTGGACTTGTGATTGTTTTGTTCCACAGCCTGAAGGTTCAGTTTTGGTGAAAAAGAGTAATCTTGTGCAAAGATTGCTTTCCATGTTGCTTTATTTTATTTAACATAAAATATAATTTCTTTAGATAAATTTGTTTCTAGTTCTTTTTTTCAAAGTAAAATGCTACAAATATCCGAAACAGTCTCTTAACTGATGCTAAAACTTTGAATAATAGGCAAGAAAAACAAGGAACTTTTTGATGATTTCCCTTTTCTTTCCTTCTTGCTGTCCTTTCTTAGTTATACACAATCAAGTTCCTGTAATAAGTGACCCTGTGCACCAAGTATGATGGGATAAATATGTTTACTTGTGCACACATATGTCTCATTTGTTTAACATATATGTCCTTAGATAACGTGTCACTTATTTAAATGTTTTCTAGTGGATCTGAGCTCTATTGGAGACAGAGCAATAAAACTGATGTGTTTATATTGCAAGTTCAAGTTTACTTGCTTGGCTCTCTGGAAGGGTGTGACATGAAAAGATTGCGGTTGGGCCACATGGCTCAGGCTGGACTGTGTTTTTGTGAATGGAGGCAGAACTCCAGCCCTGCCTGCTTGTCTTGAGGAATTGCTGAGGAGATCAGCTGTCTCATTCACCGGCAGAAAGAATGAGTCATACATCTTCCGCCTTGTTTGGCTCCAGGTCATTGTTACAGTGGATAGAACTGGTTTTAATTAAATATTAACCCTTTTTATACTTGACATTTGTCTTATTTGCACTTTTGCTGCTTTATTATGACTTTTAAAAGAACGCCCACCAAGTGTCTAGTTTGTAAGAGTCAGAGGAGCATTTACTTGCCTGCAGCTAACTTTGGAAAAAATTTAAATTCTCACCTTTCCATATAATGACTCTTACTTTATTTAAAAGTTAAAAATAGGCATAAAGGTGGATTGTATTTAAATTTTCCTATCCCCGAGGCAGTGTTCATTAAGAAAGGATATTAAAGTTAAAAATCAGAGTTGACGATTCTGTGACATTTAGGTCATGATTAATAGTTTTATGAATTTCTTTCCCATAATATGTACTGCTGTGTAGTAGAAAGAAAATTAAAGAAATATCTAAGGATAATTATCTAGGTAAAGCAAATAGCCAAGAGTGCAGATACTACCCTTTTAAAGCTGCGATCCTGGACTCGATGGCAACTTGTGTATTAATGTGCAATAAACCCAGCCTCCCTAGCTATTACCAATAAACTCTACATGCTTAATCTCCCTGAAAGCCTTTTATTGGCCTTTTGGTACATATTTTCTCCCCTTCCTCTGTTTTCCTCTTCCCTTCCTCTTTAATTACATAGTGTGCAGAAACATTTTCATTCCCTTAAGGCCATCATTTCAAGCATAGTTTATAACAGACAGTAGTGAAAAACAATTTTTTTTTTAAAAGCTCGGTCCGTATTGTTAATTTTCAGCTTTGGAGTTGGTATGGCTTGCAACACATTTTCAGGCAGCTGTAATTTGCTTCTTCACAGAATTCTTGTGAATTAAAGAAAAAAAAAAGAAGGAAATGTATGATCTGAGTGTGGCAATAGTTTGTCATATTTTCCTTGCCTGGATCCAACTTGTGTTTTTAGTTAACTGTTTTTCTTTTACTCCAACTTGAAATAAGAGGTATACTTAAGCCTTTGTCTATTTAAGCAGTGTGCTGCCTCATTTGGTCTATTCAGTTTTTTCAGATTAGCTTCTGTGAAAATGTGAGTCATGTTTTTTGTTAAAATTCTGTAATATGTTCAAGCATAAGTGTGAAGTACTTATTCAGTATGTTAAGGAGTTAGAACAGAAATAGCAATTCTTATTCCTTTTACAAATTGCCAGTATGCAGTTATTTTGTGAAGCGTAACTTCTAGAGTCTTCTGCTCCTTTGCTATTGACTTTTCTTTCTCACCCATATCCCAGCACACCGAAGTCACCCATCGGTGACTTGTGCATGGCTACTCTAGCAATGACACATATTGCAAAGTTGCAATTTTGTCTTACCATGCTAAGCAAGACAAATCTGGGCTTCAGGACATTCATATCAGCCTATTCAGTTACAAGTATATTTTTGTTGCTCATTCAGCTATTTTAAACTATTCCTGTAAGGGGATACTATATTTTTTATTAGATTCTTGTAAACGTTGGCTTTGTCAAAGCATAGTAATTGCTGTAGTTGATAAACTGCACCTCAGTAGTTACACTAAGTGTAGCTGTCATTTAGAGGAAATCCAAACATGTGGATATCATGGGGAAAGTCTTCTGGAATTGATTGCTTACTTATTCTTATTTATTAAGCATATAGGAAAACACTTGTACTTTTTCGGTGTGGAGACTTCTTTCAAAGTGTGCTTCTCTGCTAATTTATGAGGCTGAGAAAAATCAAGCTTACTGCAATGTTAAAAGCATATTGCTTAAGGGTAAGAGAATGCTAATGTACAAGTTTTAGCTTTTTTATTGGTCTCAGAATTCAATAGAAGTACAGATGCTAAACTGGATGTTGTAGTGATTAAATATACTTTTCTATTTGTGACTTGAAAGCAAAGATAAATGATAGATGATTGATAAAAATAATGTAAATATCTGAGTATCTGCCATCATGTTTAGATTATTTAATCCTTATCTAAAATACCCTGCAGTACTGCTGTTAAACTGATGAATAACGCAGTTTAGTGAGGTTTAACAACTGGTACAAAGCTAAGCAGAGCAAACCATAGACCTATGAGGTAAAGCTTTCCTGACTTTAAACATTCTTACACATAGTAACAAATTCTAGTGGAATAGGAAAAGAACAGTTCTTCCAGGTAAGATGTGTCAAATGGATTAATTATAACTTGAAAATGTTCTTTGTTTGTTTCATTTGGTGGAAGGGAAGGCATGTCCCTAATAAGGTTGGTGTTTGTAAGTAGCAGAGATAGTTGAGCATCACACTGTCTATTTTAATAATACAAGATATTGTCATATAGATATGTTCTTAAGACTGATATAAATTTTATTTAGCCAAGTACTCTGTTTTAAATAAATACTATTAAATAAACTGAGAACCAGAAACTTTTAAAGTACTAAGGATCGAAACCAAAGTTGCACACTGCGGTACATCTCCAGAACTTTTTATTTTCTATTTTGAGATGCAGTCTGGCTAAGTCACTAAGTTACCCAGGCTGAAGTTGAATTTGCATTTCTCCTGCCTCAGCCTCCCAGAGTGCTGGGATTATAGGTACGTGCTAATGTACCTGACTGTATTTCTTCTTTATATAAAATATTTGGATATTTTCATACATATATATATATATATATATATATATATATATATGCCATTTTCAGACAGAGTCACACTATGCAGTTCAAGCTGGTCTTGCACTCACTTTGTAATTCAAACTGTGTTGACCTTGCAACAATCCTCCTGCCTCAGCCTTTAGAGTGCTGGAATTACATGTGTAATTCCACACCCAGCTAAGTCTTTTTTATATGGATTGTTTCTTGGCCCCTCAATTACTAGCCTGAAAAATTTTCAATTGACTGATTATGTATTTCAATTATCATGCCTCATCCAGAATAAAATTGTTTAAAAATTAACTGGCATCTGATTTAATAAGACTTGATTGGGTAAAACTTTCAGTATTATATAATACTAGAAAAGTAATACTTGATAATCAGATTGTAGCTACCATTAATGAGGATGATACTTCATCATATTTGTACCACATTAATGTAACCTGACTTGCTTTATGTGATTTTTGTGTGTGAGAAGATGTATATTGGTATACATTTGTGACAATGTAGATTAGCTTCATGTCTAACTTGATTGTGTTTTAAACATTTTAGAAGTGAAAAAGTGGACTTGTGGTTTGATTGCTGCTGAATGCATTAAATCTTTGCTGTTCAGTATTTTTCCTTTGCTAAAAATAGGGAAGTCATTTGACATTAAAACTGATGAAATAGTCATGTTCTTTTTGTTAATGCTGAAGAGTTGCCAGGAAAATTTTTTTACATGAAAAGATGGCATCTGTTTTATTGTTTATTATTTTTATGAGTACAATCCTTTAAGTATATTATTTGGTTACAGATGTCCTCAAAATAATTGGCAATTCTTTCATTTTAAATGTTTGCAGCATACTTTGGTATGGTCAAGTTAGGGCACACATTTTCAATGATGGTAGTCTCATTTATTAGGGCCGGAAGAGACCAAAAAAGCAGTCATTTCTAAAAACACAGCGGCATGTGTGTGATACCTGCAGATCACTTCAAAGGCCCATGTGAGTATTTAGATGGGGGCTTAAGGACTGCCAGTGGGCAAATCAAAATCTCTCTTGCTCCTTGCAACATGAAACCCTGCAAGAAATAAAAATCTTGTAGTTTCTTTCTGTGTCTCTTATTTCCATCTGGCAAGTGAAATTCAGAGGGACTACATCCATGTATATCTTACGTATTTATATTTTCTAGTTGACATTAATATTCCCTCTCCCCCTCCCACACAGTACTGTTAATGCCATTTTTAAATAGGAGCTCATTGACACATAATCACAGGTGTGATCTTAGTTTAAAAAGACTTTGCTTGATAGATACGACTTGATGTTCCTTATGCATTGGCAGTTTCTCTTTTAATTTTTTTTTTTCCTCCCTCAGCTCAGGTACCTGACAATGATGAGCAGTTCGTACCAGATTATCAGGCTGAAAGTTGTAAGTATATTATAACTCATCTCTTTAATTTCCCTGTGTCTTGTTTCCTTCTTCATTTCTTTCTTTTTGGTTGGTCTCTATTCCTAGTGTGTGTTAGTGCCCTGTGCCGTGTCCTTTGAGCGTGCAGTACTGCAATGGTTTTATTTGTCAGTTTATGACATCACTAGAGTCCCTGTATAATCTAAGTAAGACTTCGAATAGCAGGCAAGGAAAACTGATTTATTTAAAAGACGGTTCTGTTTCCTGTATTTGGTGTACAGTCTCGGAGAGGAAATGGTGTGGTTCACAAATGTGCAAGTGTTTACTTCCATTTTGCCAATATGCTCACTAGGAAAAACCTGGGTGCTGACGGGAGATAGCAGAGTCAAACCCTCTGGGAGATAGTTAGTGTATAACTTGTAAAATAATCTGGACCAAATATTCAGTGGTTTGCTGTGCTGTTTTACAGTTATACAGTACTTGGATTTAATTTTGAGTCTGCAATTGTCTTCTTCTCAAGCGCAGTGACAAATGGATAGAGCCCTGGCTTCCTCTGTGTTTGTTTCCCTGATCCTCGCTCCAGGAACTTACTGTCAGAAAACACATGGCAGGTTATTTGCTGCTTACACGCCCTCCCTAAATTGTGCAGGGAGCCTTGTACCTGGACAATCATAGTTGCCTCCAGGTTTACTGCTGATTTTTATACTTTACCATTCTACTAGGGCAGCTGTTGACCTGAGAAGCAAATGGCAAAGAAAACGGTATACAGTGGTATCTTCTTATCCTCGGGGAATGCGTTCTAGAATGTTCTGCCCATGCCTAAAACTATGGATAGCACTAACCCTTTACTATGCATACTGTTTTTCCGTATACAAAAGTACCTCTGCTAAAGCTTAATTTTATAAAGTAGGTACAAATAAGAGACTAATAAAAATAGTAAGAAATATGACAGTGATAATGCCCTGTAATAAAAGTTATTTAAAAGTTACTGATTCCTTCTGGAATATCCTATTTAATTTTTTAAGACTGTGGTCAACAGCAGATAAGTTAAAAAAAAAAAATTGTAGCAAGGTAAAGTGCCTGTAAGTGGGGACCTTAGTAAATGTCATTTAGATTATGAAACTGCCCTAATGAATTTTTATTCTGTTGGTGTCATTTAAATCTCCAACTTGTTTCATTGTTTTGGAACCCTGATAGTATCAGGCAAGGGAATATTAAGATCCTGTGGCTTACCAAACCCATATTTTTGTACCTTAACAGCTCAAATTCCTACATCAAACAGCACATATTTGTTGGAAATTTTTTAACTTTTGTGTTTGGCATCTTAAATTTCCCTGGGATAGAAGGCTGTGGAAGACTTCTTGTAGATTTTTCACCCATGTCACACAGTTTAGTTCAGTTTTATTTAAAAGAAAAATGTAGTAAAATGCACATAAGATAAAATTGATCATTTTAACCATTTTGACGTCTGTAGTTCAGGAGCATTAAGTGCATTCTCTTGAGCTGTGATCACCACTATTCATTTCCAGAACTTTCCCATCGGACAGTAAGAAAACTGTGTGTGAAAACAATAATTTCCCTAGCCCATAGCTTTCCAGGCTGTCACCTCTTTTAACTGAGAAGAGAATTTCATGTTTTTAAAAATATATCTGAATGCCATTATTTGACATACATGTCCAAGACGTATTCAGCAATGATACAGACCTTAATGAGAGACCCTAAAAACACTCCCAGAAGGGCAGGGGCTAAGGACAACAGCTACTCAAAACCTCCCCTATTGATGGATCTACAGGCAGGGAATGGTTGTATTTCCAACATTTTCCTTCCCCTGTGGAACTTGAATTCTTTTTTTAAGTGGTAAATCTGTTATCTGAGTAAGAGAATTAATCTCATTGAGCCATTTTGTTTCTGAAGAAACTGGTAACAATTTCAACATGATATCTAATGTTGGGGTAAAACAAACTACCCACAGGTAGTTTTTGTTACTCTTTTTCTACTGATCTTTTTCCACCTTTTCTTATTTCTATTTTGTTCTGTTAAATTCCCTGCTCTTGTGTTTGGTGATGTGATCGTTTTCCCTTTCTCTTTTCCCTCCTGTGATGTCCCAGCTTCTTCCTCCACGTGTCAGCTTTCCTCCTCTGTGCATGTGCTCTTTCCCTGGGCTTCCGTCCCCAGTTTCTCTACTGTGTTACATGCTCCCTGCCCTTGCTGTGTTACAGAGCTTCATGTTAGTGCAAATGATGTATATCTGTGTCACCCCTTACAGTAGCCATTAGCTACATGGGTCATAAGTATATGAAATGGGGCTCATTAGAACCTAGAATTAATTGGTAATTTTAGCTAATTTTGCATAGTTTGCATTTAGACGCATGTGAGTATTGGGTACCATACTGGTCAGCATAGTTCTCTAGAGCAAGTTGGAGATACTCTTCTCTCCTACCTGGTCCTCCCTGAGTCCCTAATTACTGGATATCCTCTGTGATGCCCCAGATCTCTAAACATTCCCAAGCTTTCAGCTTTATGTTGACTTCACTTACACAGCAGCCCCGATTCAGTCTTTAATGTGATGCTCTACAGACAGTCCATGCTTAGCAAGTCTAATGCTGATATCATTTTATTCTGACCAACATTTCTCTTCTGGTTATGTTGATTCCAAGGTAAAAAATCTATGCTTTATCCTCAATCCCTCAGCTCTTTACCATAAGCATCCACTTGCTAATCAAGTTATTGATTCTGCCTTTTAAATATCTGAATTTCATGTCTTTACTCCACACTTAGTTCATTGGTTGAGTTCACACACACATTTTGCTTTGACTTCTGAACTTCTGAATCAACTTTTTGATTGGTTTTCTTGCCTTTTGTATTTTTCTCTTTCCAATCAACCCTTTGCAGAGGCATCTGTAGTTATCTGGACTCACTAATTTTCTCCTAAAATTTCCTTCAGGTTAAAGTCTTAATCTTTTAGTTGCACAGAAAATTGTTATATAAGCCATGCCTGGATCGTCTTATCAATTTCACTTGTCCTTCCTGATTCTTTGTACTTATTCTTTTGATTTTTCAGCTCTTCAAGACCACAGGGTTTTGTTTTGTTTTGTTTTGTTGTCTCATTTTAAGTTTTCCCTTTTGTCCTGCAAGGTTAGGATCTTGCTAGTTCTTATTCAGCTTTGACATCATCTTACTGGGGTTTTTCTTCACCTCTTCTCCCCACTGTTAGCCCTGCAGAGTGAGCTGAGCTCTACATTTCACCTGCTGTATTTATTATGTTTGAATATTCTAGATAGGTATGTGTCTTTGATAAGACTGTGAACTTCTTGAGAATCAGGAATGAATCAATCCTTATGTGTTGTAGAAAAACAACATATAAAATTGTCATCATAATCCCCATCAGCTTCTAAGTGCTTCAGTATTTTCAGAGTTTTCATTCTTCTCTTAAGGTAGAAATGTATGACCATCTTTGAATATTGTACACATAATGTCAATATGGTAAAACTTGCTGAAACAAAATTTAATCATTTTTAGACTGGTAACGTTTTATGGTTTTTGGATTGATGAATAAAGACACCTAAGCAATGGTAAAGACAAATCTAGAATAATCTAATAAAATAAAAGCGAGGTAGCCTTTACTCCAAGCTTTCATTGACATTAAGAACTTGTTTGGTGATGCTGACCAGTTAATTTTATTTTGTACTACAAATGGAGCAAAAGGGAAATTATTTGAAGAGAAGAACAGAGAAGGTGAAGGATTTGTGTGTGGAGAGATTTTGAGATATTGGAAGTGGGATGTTGAGTGGTCTCTGAAATGCATTTTACAAGTGTTTGATTGTTGTGTTTGAGGATGGTTAGTGGAGCAGAAAAGTCCTATCTCTACAAATAGAAAGAAACCATATCCCCATACTTTGTGGCCCATTTCTAAATTTATTAGGCTATTTTTTTTTGAAGTGAATAATCAGATTTGATGATACCTTCCTGGAATAAGACACTTCTGTTTTCACTTTAGTGCTTTGGAAAATGAATGTTAGCCAAATTAACAGTAAAATTTTGTATAGTACAGAATCACACTAAGAAAGTATGTTTGAGTGTAATATGTTTGGATATGTGTAGGAGAATAGAAAGAACATTTTAATGTGGAAATTGTGGAAAAAATATTAAACCATAACACTTGGAAACTTTCTAAAACTTCTTGAGCATCCCTTGTTTTTACTCATGTATTATTTCAATTAAAGGTCTGAGAGCCAATGATGTTGTACTATAGCTTGCTAACTTTTGAAGGATGCTAAACTTTGAAGTACGTTTAGATGCAAAAAACAAATAAAAATAAACAACTTCCTGCAAGTCCACGCCAGAGCACATTGACGGGGCATTGAATACATTGTTTTTATCATTTTTTTTTTACTTAGACACAGCTGGAACACATAGTACCATTTCAGAATATGCATTTGTCAGGAAAGAATAGAAGTATTCCTTAGGAGAGGGATTTCAGAGTATTTGAAACATAGCTGATCCTTATCTTTCAAAGGCAGTAACAAAGTTGTATATAAATGGAATTTTTAAAAAGAAAATGCATCTCTAAATGTATCATATTTTATATCATATAGTTTATATCATATCTCTAATAATTTAAAATTCATCCTTAGTTTGGTTCAATAAGATGTGTATTTTTTTATAACCAATTTGTATCCATTTGGATACATTCATTTATAGGGAGTCACATGATAGATTATTTTTTTACATTTACATTTTGCATTCTCCCAGAACTCTCTCAGGAGTATTGCCAGGGTTATGCAAAATTCCCAGCAGGATAGATCTATTCCTTTCTTGTGCACTCAAGAAAACACACTGGAATGCAGAGCATTTAGGATGATAGTATTAAGGAGATAATAAACTTTATTCTTAATACATTTATAAAAGTAAATATCTTCAAATTTCTGTACTTTATCTGATATTTGTAATGTGATACTAGTGAACCATCCAAAAATAATCAAGGCAAACGAGTATGTATGGATATAACGGTTTAAAGGCAT